ACAGTGAATGGTTAACTATAAAAATAACATCTATCCTCAAGTGACTTAAAAGCAGGGAACAAAAAATTACTGGTATGTATTGCTTAATTTAAACCTCTATAATGGTTTTGTTTTCTTTAAAGTTTTATGCTATTTGATTTAAGTGCTAGGAGAAAAAAAACAAACTTTAAGGTCTTTTTTCACCTTAGTTATTGATGAGAACATAAGTATATAGTCCTTCTGGACAACCTACTAAATAATAATGAGGATAATAGCAACAACATCTAAGGAGAGTTTAGGATGTGCTGTGCTAACCACATAATAGGAAGACCCTCATTCAGGTCTCACAGCAGTGCTCTCAAATGTAGTAGTATTGTCCCCACTGTATACATGTGCTAACTGAGACATGTGGCAACGAGCTTGCCCAGTGTCACACGGCTAGTAAAGGCCTGAGCCACGATTCAGCTTCAATGGGCTCTAGAACTAACTCTTCTCTGACTATGCTGCCTGGGACTGGTAATTGATACCTTATGCGTGGATATTGGGCCTTGCCTGTTCCCTGTAAATGATTGGCCATTTATAGGAAACACTTTTATGGAGCACTTGATCTTTCTATAACCCAATAAGTGAAAAAAACTCTTTTTGCTACTTTGGTGAACGCATTTTTTGTGTATGTGTTTTTTTTGGTGAGGTTTTTTTTTTTTTCCTCTTCACACTTTTCTCTCTTTTGTGTGTTTGTGATATTTATTCATCCATTCTTCAATTACAGTTGACATTCAGTATTATTTTGTATGAGTTTCAGGTATAGAGCATAGTGGCCAGTCATATACTTTATAAAACAATCCCCCCAATATTTCAAGTACCCACCTGGCACCATAGATATTATTACAATATTGTTGACCGTAGTCCCTGTGCTATAATTTACATTACCATGACTGCTTTGTGACTAATTAGTACTTCTGAATCCCTTTATCATTTTTATCCAGCCCCCTAAACACCAACCGCCATCTTCTTTGACAACCATCAATGTGATCTCTTTCTGAGTCTGTTTCTTATTTGTTTGTTTGTTTATTTTATTCTTTAGATTCCACATAAGAGTGAAATCATGTGGTATTTGTCTTTCTTTCTCTGACTTATTTTACTTAGCATCATACCCTCTAGTTCCAACCATGCTGTCTCAAATGGTAAAATTTCATTGTTTTTTATGGCTGTATAGTATTCCAATGTAGATACAGGAGTGGGCAGAGGTAGATTTGCATTTGTTCGTATGGAAAAAATACAAATTAATAAGTAATAATAGAAGAATAAACTCTGTGTTTTGCATACTCAAAATAAACCTACGTTTGCCCACCCCCGTGTGTACCACAGCTTTTTCATCCAGTCATCTATTGATGGGCACTAGGGTTGCTTCCATATCTTGGCTATTGTAAACAGTGCTGCAATGAACAGGGGGCTCATTCGTGTTTTGGGTTTTGGTGGGATATGTACCCAGAAGTGGAATCACTAGGTCAGGGGTGGGTAACCCCTGGCACGTGTGCCACACATGGCACGCCAGTAACTTTTGCTGGCACGCGAAACCCTCTCTTATAATCTTCCATTTACAATTTTTTTCTTAATATCGACTTTTTTATTTTTCAGATAAATTCAGTGTAGGTGCATCTTAGATAAATAAATAGTTTTACATAACATGTATACATTAAAAAAATGAATATGAATGTATTTTTCATCATCATATACTGTGTTTTTGTCGCTCGAATGAATTTTATTATTTCTTCAAGGTTCTTCACATACGTACACCTCAAGAGATATCAAGTAGGCGTAACATGTTCTCAAAAAATTAGGGTTGGCACGCAGAAGAATTTTGAGTCAGATTTTGCTGGTTTTGGCACGCACTCACAAAAAGGTTGCCCACCCCTGCACTAGGTCATAAGATAGTTCCATTTTTAATTTTTTGAGGAAATTCCATACTGTCTTCCACTGTGGCTGTACCAATCTGCTCTCCCACCAACAGTTGCACAAGGATTCCCTTTCTCCATATCTGCACCAACACTTGTTGTTTGTTGATTTATTGATGATAACCATTCTGACAAGTTTGAGGGGATCTATCATTGCAGTTTCAATTTGCATTTCTCTGATGATTAGTGACATTGAGTACCTTTTCATATGTTTTTTGGCCATCTGTATGTCCACTTTTGAAAAGTGTTTATTTAGGTCCCCTGCCCATTTTTTAGTTGGATTATTGGTTTTGAGTTATATGACTTCTTTATAAATTTTGGATATTAATGCCTTATCAGTTATATCAATGGTGAATATCTTCTTCCATTCTGTAGGCTTTTTTTCATTTTGTTGATGGTTTCTTTTGCTGTACAAAAACTTTTTAATTTGATGGGACCCCCTTTTTTATTGTTTGTTTTTCTTACCTAAGGATATATATCAGAAAAAAAATATTGCTAAGAGAAATGTCAGAAATTTTATTGCTTGTGCTTTCTTCTTGTAGTTTCATGGTTTTGAGTCTTAATTTAATTCTTTAACCCATTTTGAGTTTATTCTTGTATATGGTGTAAGAAAGTGGTCTAGTTTCATTTTTCTTGCATCTATCTGTCCAACTATTGAATAGTCTTTACCCTATTGTGTGTTCTTGCCTCCTCTAAGAATAAACTATTCTTAAGTCAAAGGGTTTCCAAACAATTGCCTTTAAAAGTTGTCATAAGTAAATCTCTGTTTCATTGTGTCATGTGGTTGAATGTGAACTTGATTGACTTCATTTATTCTAGATACTCTTATAAGTGATGTAGAAAGTAATTTCGATAAATCTAATTAGCTATATCACATTTCCTTGAAGTTATATATGCACCAAACTATTTTATCTAGGATTTTTGTTTTATGAATGAAAATTACTTGAAGACATTTTGGGTTTTGTCATTTATTTTATAGAAATGAATGTGCACATAAGTATGCATATGCCTAGTTTCTCTGATTATCAAGTCATAAAATTATGTAAACTTTTAAAAATAAAACTTTCTATATTTTTAATAATTTTAGTTTTAAAGAAGCATTGCAAAGATAGTGCAGAGGCTTCATATACCCTTCACCAAACCATAATAAGCCTTTCCTAATTCAAAAGAGTTGGGGATATCTTGTTTGCTGGTCAGGTGATAATCTAGGATTCAAAACATTCATATTTATTTGAGGCATTTAAGTATAAAATGACATATACTTAGCTAAAATGATTGTGTGTTTTTTTTCCATTTTCAATATTCTGTAGCTTCCCAAAATATAGAAGACTGGATTGAATTTCTTTTGACCTTCAACATACCATTAGTTGAAATATTGTTTAAAAAATCAGTCTGTTACTTGCTATATACAGGTAGAGAAAATTTTAGTTACTTGAAATTTATCAAGAATTGAATGATTATTATATCATCTAAAGTTAAAATGATTTTCTTCTTTAAAATTTCTAATTACATATGCTTTTATTAAAAATCTAATATGGAAGGCATGTAGTGAATATTTTAGCTATAGGTGATTGTATACACTTGAAGTTTATTTTCATATATATATAGTTCCATGTCATTTCCATGAACATGTTATTTGGAAATTAGCATTCCTACATCAGTTTTATTATTATACTAGAGGCCCAGTGCACAAAAATTTGTGCACTCGGGCGGGGGTGGGGGTGGGGGGGCTCAGCCCGGTCTGTGCCCTCTTGCAGTCCGGGACCACTCAGGGGATGTCCACCTGCTGGCTTAGTCCTGCTCCCGGGGGAGGAGCGGGCCTAAGCTGGCAGTCAAACATTCCTCTGGCAGCCTGGACATCCTTAGCACTGCTGAGGAGGCAGGAGAGGCTCCCGCCACCACCACTGTGCAGGCAGCCCGCAGCCTGGCTTGTGGCTGAGCAGAGCTCCCCCTGTGGGAGCGCACTGACCACCAGGGGACAGCTCCTGCATCGAGCGTCTGCCCCCTGGTGGTTAGTGTGTGTCATAGTGACCAGTCATTCCCAGTCGTTCTGCTGTTAGGGTCTATTTGCATATTACCCTTTTATTATATAGGATTATCTGTTTTCTCAAACTTTAATTTTGACAAGCATAATAAGGACAGTGTTTCATTTAAAGTGGAACTTCATTTTCTTTTTTGTAAAGCATGTTTGGTCCACTGAATATTTGAATCCATTCTAATGATTCTCTCTTGCTTTCACCCATGTCAAATCCATGTGATCTAATTTGTGTGAAAAATTTAAAAGTA